ACACTTTAGCACCTTCGTATAATGGTACTTCATCATCATTTGTCTCACTGTCATCCTTTTCAAAGTCATCTTCAACACGGTCACTTGTTTCATCTTCATTCTCGCTTTCTGAGCTCGAGCTGCTAACTTCAGTGTCACTTTCGGATTCCTCGCTTGTGTCTGAATCGCTCTCTGAGCTAGCTTCATCGATGAGAAGTGAAAGACACTCGCCCATCGGGTCTTCGGTAAACTGTTCCTCGGAAAATATTGCATCAGTAACGTTATCATTGTCCGCAAATGAGACCGGGGGCTGAGAAGAAAGATTACCTTCTTCTGAATCTTCTGAGTTAATTTCGGTGAAAGTCTCGAATGTGGGAATTGAACATTCAGTAAAATCCTCACCATTGTGCAACGTTGTAATCGATGAATCTGCAAGCGTACAGCCACCACCAAATTCCTTTTCTTTCTTTTTGATTCTCCATGCTGTAGTTCGCGGAATCTTTGCTTCTTTAGAGGTAACCCACGCTTTTCTTTTCATTCCGCCGCCGGATCCGTTCGACATGTTTGACATACCAAAGCGAAGCACACGCGAAGCTAGCGCGGGAAACACGGTCACCACAGGGGCTCTGAAGGCCTGGGTCGAGGCCTGTGATTGGTGGATTAAACGAATTTGCACGTGAAACACTGCGCCTACCTGCGCCTTGAGTCGCGCTTTGAAATTCCCACACATTTTCGTGCAGCGAGGCAAGAGAATACTCTACTTTGTTGACATCATGCGATCTCAGAGAAAAAGATCTGCCCCATCTTGGCTAAAAGAAAAGCCTTACATAAAAGTAAGGCTTACACAGGATGGTTATATCTCGAAAGTGACGGAATCGTGGAAATTAAAGCTGACGGAAGACGGTGAAACGTTGAAAGGCTCTCTCGCAAACTACAGTTTTTGTATTGGTCAGAAAGTCTGGTGCTACTGGAAGACTGCAGATGAGAAGGAAAAAGCGTATTTTGAAGGGGAAGTTATCGAGATGTGGGATAATTCGACAATTGTCGAGGACAACCTACCGAACGAAGTAGATGAGCCCGATGAGATCGTTGAAGGTTAGCTTGAAAAATATTTCACACCTTTGCTGCGAACAGAACTATAATTTTAATGCACCAAGTTCACACTCCTTATGAAATGAAAAACGATATATGAATCATACTTTGGACTGGTTGACAAGATAAACGGTATCTATGTATGATGAAACAGCTAGCCTATGCGGCCTAACTAAAATCAACTACGTAGTAGATCGCTGTACATTTGATAAATCGTGTTCCAAGCGGCTTCGTTTTGATGTTAGATTTCAATGAGTGTTGATTTCAGTGGATGTCGGTCGCATGACTTTTTCACTGTGGAATTTTGATCATAATACCTGTTCCGTATTATTTATATGTAATGTCAACCTTAAGTTGTTCTATGCAGCTAAATTTTGCTGTTTATAAATTGTTTAATCTGTCAGATGATAAGGTTGAGGTTTTGCCAACTCCAAAGAAGCGGCCAAAAGTTGTCAAAAAGACCGCCAAACGCCAGCTTGAAAAACCAACGAATGACAACGATGAAGAGGTAATATATTTGCTAATAAGAAAGCTTTTGTGAGCAAAAATGTAAGATACCATCTTATCCTAGCTAGTACATAAATTTGGCATAGCATATGTTGGGAGACAGCTTTTCACTACTAATATGAACAGTTAGTTGAAAAGAAAAACTTACATTAATTCTCTACTTTCGCTTAGGCAAAGGCAGCTAAGCGGTTGGCCAACAAAGAGAAAGCTATGGCTGAAAAAGCCAAACAGGAGGATAACCTCACCCAGAGTAAGGAGTTGCTGGAAATCTCTGATGAATCAACGGTATGATCGAATATATCGAGTCATGGGTTCCTGCAGGTTACATGATTTTGAGATAAATGAAATACTTGAAGCAAAGTGCTCATGCATGGTGGTACTACTGCAGTTGTGGAAAAAATTAAAAAAACTGAGTGCTTAGTTTTAAAATAGAAAAGTAACCCTCAAAATGATGGATTCAGGGGAAATAAATAATTTCTAGACTAAAAAAATGAGTGCTTAGTTTTAAAACAGAAAAGTAACCCTCAAAATGATGGATTCAGGGGAAATAAATAATTTCTAGACCATGTATCAGTCTCCCAGTTTTAACATATCAGCACAACAAATTTGTCAGTTTTAATTATTCTGCATGTGACTATATATGTAATGTAATTGACATGGGATCATGCAAATTAACAGTTGTCCAACAACAACTATTTGTTACTGGATACCTGTAATTGGACATCTGTGCTATTTATGCCTCAGTCACATACATTGAGATGGGTTCTTTCTTGCTGTTTTCCTACTGTTTGCTAATTTGATTGATACTTTTGACTTTTTCAAACAAAAGGGTTGGTAAAAGACTTCTCAATGTCAAAAATTATTTATCTTCAGAGATGATAGGTTGATAGAATAAGGCCACATGCATCATTCTTTAAATCTACAGGATATGCTGTTTGACTTCATGGGACAAGTTATGTCACGTCTGGAAAGCATCGGAAAAAAAGTGGAAGCAAATCAACAAATCCTGGACAAACTTATGCGAAAAATTGAAAAAAGAAAGGTACTCTCAATTATGTGGAACATTTCTTTCAATAACTTTTAACTACGTTTTGAGTTAATATTTATCAGTAATTCCTTGCAGCTAATGGTTACTCGGTACAAAATAACACATTGCTGAAGATCAGGCTCTTTATACTGGCATGGGACAGCAAAACAAAGCAACCTTAACAATCACTCAATCTTGGCCTTTCTCTGCTTTGGATATGTCTTAACAGACACACTGTAGCTTCACTGATTTTTTTCTAATGAAAAAGTCTTACTAACATCTACTTTAACTTGTATTTTCATTCAGGATCATTCTCTTCCTGTGCAAGTCTTTCTCGGCAAGTCTGGGGACAGTACAGCCAGCAGCAGCAACAGACCATCTTCACCCTGTCTCCTAAAAAAAAAGTGACACATACAATCCCCCTGGCTCTGCAACCATAAGTTCCACTCCTAAGGCAAGTGAGTCCCCTGGAAGTGTAACACTCAATAGCACCAGTATGGATGATGACAGCCTATCAGAAATCAGCTGCAGTCTGTTAGATGATGTGTCTCCAGAAATTTCAGCTGGAGACACTGCTGAATCCTCTTCAGAGGACCTGAATGACATGGGTAAGTTTTACATATATTGCATTGTAGAAGAGAACATAACTATTATATAATGCAAACTAATGAAGAATTAATGAAAGACTGAAAAAAACTGAAAGGTCAACAGAAGACCACAAAGGTTAATGACAAGGCAAGTTACAGGCTTTTTAGTTAAAATAATATCAATCAATATTGTTTCTCAAGTA